ACTATTTTAGCTTACTAGTCCTGAGGCCAGCTAGTCACTGCCATCTTTTAAGTTATTGCTACTAAAAGGGTATTAACACAGTAAGTCTTATTGTGCACAAAATAGTCCCTGGTAAATTTTTTGAAGTGCATATTATTAACAAAGGAGAGTTAGAGCCTGTTGTTAAAGAGAGGAAGATGCTAGCTGTAGAGGGAAGTGCAAATAATTGTAGAGTTAACAATAACTACCTCATAACTACCTGCTGGCTTTCTCTCTAACATTTAAGTCAATTCCAGCACCCTGTTTTACTGTGTCATGCACTTTAGGTGTAAAAAGATTTAGCTTGTGAGCCCAAACCTACCCCGACTTTCACGTAAATTCCCCCTACCCTGTATCTTCTTTGCAATAATATATGTAGAAAAAGAAGATAGATATTAAATCTAACCAAATATATATAGTTGTGTTCAGGGTTAGAGCTGCAGAAAACAGCTAACTAATTTAGATCTACTACTGGTGGAACTTAAAGTTTAAATATTATAATTTAAAAAAACTTTTAAGGATAAACAAAAAACAAAAAGATTAAAGTTTATTAAAGGTTTTAGCAGAAGAGTACCAATACTTACTACTCAATAAACAAACTGACTGTTACTGTAGCCAATCTACTTAGGGCTTACTATAATTATGTCTTATTATGCACAGGGTTTACTATAGTTGTGCCTTACTATATACAAATTCGCTGGTTGTGCCTTACTATGTACAAGTTTATTATATCTATGTCTATGTCTTACTATATACAGAATTACTTAGGGTTTACTAATAGTTGGAATGCTCAGCAAAACTACTGGTTATAACAGTAGTGGTATCATCCTTAGTAATCCCCTGAGAAAAATCAATTTGCAAAACTAACGAATGTAACAATAATGGTGTTATTCTATCTACTATAAATGAGCTTCTTACATACAGTTTAGAAAAATAACTAATGTTATGACAATTAAACCAATGATGTGATAGATAAGCAGTGATCTAGAACTGATATTCCTTGCTATTTTAGAGATTTCTAGGTTTTTATACATGCCTAGACTAATGAAATAATGAAATTAGTCCTTTGGAAAGTATAGAATGGTCTCACATATTTAGGGCATTAAAAAATAATTTATTTTAGTTTCTAAATGTGCTTCTGTGTGTATACCAGCTATAATGCACTAGTAGGAATTGCAAGAGTTATCACATGCTGTTAGATTTCTTAGGTTGTATATTCCTGACCCATGCCTGTTAAAATTTTATCTACCTGACAATTGTCATCTCTATATGTAAGTAGATTGTTATTAGTAGGAAGTATATTAACAATGAATTACAGAAGTGTTGATAAGTACTATCAATAATAGTACTTATCACAGAGGCAACTTTATACTAACAAAGCTTTTCAATAGCTAATTGCAGACCTGCAGAAGACTTAAAGATATATTGATATGAGGAACAAGCCAGCAGTTATATGTTTTATCTATAAAATTATTAAAATATATTGATTGGAAGAGATAATAGAGATATTGCACCCCTGCCATTAGAGCCATTCAATAGCTCCAATAGCTCATTAAATTGCCGATTACTGTATCTATAGACATTATTTCTTGGCTAAAATTGGAGATTGACTATATGATAAGATAATCTATTCTGCCCCTAACTCTGGTCCCAAAAAAAGCCAAAAAATGCAGCCATTGGAGCCATTCAATGGCATTAACAGGTGATACATACTTACACATATACACAATTTATTTTCTTAAAAAAAGGCTTTCCGATACTACATCCATGATTTAGATCTTGTTAAATTTTAGCAGAATAGCCACAGGTCACAGGCCCACTGAATTGATTGAAATGGGTCAGTAATTTCTGACCAGTTGCAGTTGTAATATCAAAGACATTCTCTTTAGGAACACATGCTGGAACCGCAGCAGACATTCAAATATTCTTATACATTCATCTCAATTAGTGCTGACCTCATTTGGAAATTGTGACCACATTGCAATATTCAAGTTAATAGTATGTAGAGATAGTGTGTTTTGTTCAGCCTAAACATTCTCTCACTCTGGCTGTTGATATATATAATTCTTTCTCAACTGTTATTATCAACAGGAATCAACTACTAGGAATATGACCAATGAGACCATTTAAGGATAAATATGACTCGAACTCCAATAGAAGGTAGTACTAGTCTTATCAGGTGGGGCTGACATCTAGGTGACTGAAATGATATATTTTAATATGTTATGCTGGAGCCATATTTAATAATATAATATAGGAATAATAATAATATTCATTCCTGCCACCAGGCATAATATAATTGGTGAGTGTATCCGTTCTGCAATTGGGGCACCGCTGATGCGTTGTTTGCATAGTGGCGAAGTATGCACTAGTCAAACATCTGAAATTTCATACTCTATGCTATCTACCAACAACTGATCTGTTAAAAAGGGGTGCAAATAGCCCAGAAGTCAAGATACGTGACATGTCATTCCTCCACATGCTTTATCTGTAATACACTGATTCCGCATCCCATATCTCCTTCAGCAGCCCCACTACTTCCACGCTCACATCTGTCCACCCGTCGTTCTCCAGCCAATTACCCTCCCCCTCCGCGTCGGCCTCCACGAAGTCAAAGCGGTCCCCCGCCCAGGATCCCCGATGCAGGCGCGTGCCCGCCTGTGGCTCGTACACCAGCGACATGGAGCCGCTGCTTGACAGGCAGATGTGCGGGAACAGCAGCTCGGCGGGCGTGATCCGCGCAAAAAACGCCTCGCAAGCCGTCCCAACGTAGGCCGCCTGCAAGTCCACGACAGCAGTGAACCGGATATACGCGTGCTTCGAGAGGTTGCGCACGATCAGCGTTGGGCTCGGCGCGACACGGGGGACCAGCGTCGTCACTTCGAGAAGATCCAGCTCGTCTTCGAGCAAGAGCCGGCAGTCGATTGCGGCGCGGTGGAAGCGGTATTGCGGGGGCGGCCGGAGATCCCGGAGTGAGTCAATAATGCGAATATTCGATGGCGCCCACAGTGCTTCGAATGGATCTAGAGCTTTTCCTCCCGGCTAGGACCACGGGTAGTGGAACAGCCTGGGATTTGAGTCCTCATCGTCATCGTGCAGCCCCGCGAGAAACGCCGCGCGCTCATCCTGGCTGAGCAAATGGTCGGGGATGTCCGCGTTGTCCAGCTCGTCACCGACGCACACAATGCGCTGCCCCTGCCACGAGGCCGCCTCCGCCGCCTTTACCAGGAGGCGGTAGATGACGTGCCGCCCTATTTCCCAAAGCCCCTGGCACGTGCTGCTGAGCAGGACCACCGTCACGAACTCGTCGATACTCGCGTATATCTCGCGGACAACGTCCTCCGGAAGGCCCACGAATGCCGAGCTACAGGCCCGCGTCAGTCAGTCAGTCTCCCCGCTAAGTAGTCCACGCACCTCTGCTCTGCCCTATCACACCACCGCCGCCCGTCCCCCGCCCGATACGCCCGCACGACGTCGTCGACCGGCGCGGGCCGGACTGCTGCGAGGCGCGGATTTAGCCACGGGCCCGCGACCTCGTCGAAGATGAAGCTGAACTTGTCCCAGTCCCCCAGCTCCTCCCGCTTGTCGAGGTTCACGACCTTCCACCACTGGCCCATGCGGTGCGCAAGCGGCGTGTCGTGTGCAAGAAACGTGGGACACGGATGTGTGTGGTGTTATGCGGATGCTGCTTGTTGCAGTGCAAGAGTCGGAAGTCGGTCTGAGTCAGGTTTTGGCGAAGGTCGATTTTTCGATGTGGCGGTTAAGAGCAAGAGTGAGACAGGGTGTCACACCGCTGCATCACGAGCACAGCCATCTCTTGGCCCAAAAAGGAAATCATTTTTCTTCTCTTCCGCCATCATGGATGATGGCGGACGCGCAGGTGTGCTGAACGTGGATGACGCGCGAGGTGGGCTTGCCAGTGTTCCAGCGCCAGTGCTGTGCGGTCTAGATGTGGCGTGAGTGGGGGAGGGTGGCCGTGGTTTGGCGGGAGAGAGGGAGCGAAAGAGGGGGGCAGGCGCTCAATTAGGATTTAGACTCTTCCGAAGGTGCGTCGTCGGCTGGTTTCCTTGTACAGGATGCTTACTCCTCGCTTACCTCTATATAGGCCGTCCTGGCACTGGCCCTCGCTCATCGTGGCTGGAGAGGTATCACGCGGCTCAGGCTGATTCCCCAATGCCCATGGCCATAAATGCTAAACGCATTTTGTCGGGCCCCGCAGATTCCTATGCTTCTACCACGCTGCTAGCCGGCTCCCGCGCTCTGGCGGCTCAGCGAAAAGTTAGACTCCAATAAATTCCATTCGTATGCGAGAGCCAGCACTGCAAACTAGGGTGCTGTGAGTTGAACGTGTTTCGAAACAGTTTCGAAACTGGTTTCGAAACACGTGTGAGTTTTGAAATCGGCCGGGGGTCGACCCGGTTTCGAAACCGACACGTGACTCCGGGGACCGGCCCATGGCTTCCCGGATACCTGCACCACCCCATCGGCAACGGATGCCATGGCCTCGCCGGCCAACTGAGGCCGTCGCCGAGCCGTCGCCGAGCCGTCGCTGACTTCCGCGGAGTTCCTGTCGCCAAGCTCAGTTGGCCTGGATTCGGACCGACTGGAACCATCGCCGGCTACGAGCGCCGGGTGGTCCGGCCCCGGTAAGCGGCCGGTTTCGAAACAGTTTCGAAACAGCTGTGAGTAATTCCTCAGGAATTACTCACAGCACCCTACTGCAAACCTCGCAAGTTGTCGCCGTCGGCGACGGACATGGTCCACAGGAGATGCTTGCGCTGGATCGCGAGCACTCGGAGTCGGCTGCACGACGCGCATGACCAAGTAGCCGATCACCGCCGGTGCTCGTGCGTCAGCCACCAACAAAAAAAGCAACGAAGGTCAGCTGTAAGGGGTCCAAACAGGGACCCTGCAAATGATCAATGGTAGTATTCGGCATAGTCTAACGTTCAGCTGGAAGACTTATACAAGTCCAAACTTGTTCAAACATCCACAACGACGTCGAGCCTGCCCTCGCGCGCCACGCCCTGTAAAGACCGCGCCAGCTCCGGCAAAATCAGCTGCCGGTGGGCCGCGGCACGCGCCAGGGACTGCCCCGCGGGATGCATCGTGAACACCAGCGCAAGACGGGCTGTGCGCCGGCCCGGGCTCGCTAGCGCGTCGTCGATCAGCCGCAGACAGGCTTGCGCGGCCTCCTCGCGGAGCACGTGCACGAGGAAGCCGGGGCTGTCGACGAGGAGCGACAGCTCACGCGCGCGGTCGCTGGCCAGGGGGGAGCGCAGCGTGACGGCTGCAAGCCGCGGGGTGACCGCGGGCCGGAGGAGCGGCAGCACGACGCCGGTGAGCAGCGCGGCGAGGCGGGTGCCGGTGCGGAGCTCGGCCGCGAGCGAGGCGACGTCGAGCGTGAGATGGGTGAGAGCGGGCAGGCAGGGCGGGAGCACGAGGTCAGCGTAGTCGGGATCGAGGCCCCCCGCTGATGGCGAGGACTTCAGCAGCGGCATCATCATTATGGCGAACAGGACGCACCCTCTCTAAGTAGCTGGAGATGCTCGAGATTCCCGGCTGCCGCCTCACAGAGGCGCATCGAGTCGAGGACCGCGGGGCCGTGCTTTACGGGGACAAGCAGCGTGCGGAGCCCCTGCACGTACGGCCGAAACTCCGGCTCCGCGAGCGTGCGCTCCACCCGGGGGCCGGCTTGCACGTGCAGTCCAAACGGCGGCATCGTGTGCATGTACGGTGCAAGCTCGCGGGACGGTGCACCGTCCAGCGTCGCCATCTCGAAGTTGACCTGCGCATGCGGCGCCAGCGCACGGAACACGGCATGCACAACCGCGCGCGGGATGTCCCAAAGAAACACAAAGGACACGTGGCGGAACGCACCGGGGGGCCGGCCCGCGAGCCACCGGGCGAGCGCATCCGCCAGTATGGGCGTGACATTCCGCCAGTCGTCGTTATCGCCAAAGACGGTCAATGCAGTGACGCATGCGAGCCGCGCAAAGAGGCCCGCAATCGCCTCCTCCGCGCCATCGACGCCGGCCCATCGGTACGGGACCCGGCCGACAGCGAGATCGAGCGTGCGGACGAGCGGGGCGAGGTGGGGCCAGCGTTCGAAGCGCGCCGCGGCCTCGAGGTAGCCTTTTCTGCCCCCGCCCTTGTCGCCGAGCCAGAGCGTGCCTAACAGGCGCTGTTGGCACGGAAAGCGAAAGCGCCGGGCGGCGAGCGTGCACGCCCTGAGGTCTGCCGTGCTGCCCACGTCGCTCACGATGGCGGCGATGAGCTCGGGTGGCAGGTCCATGAGGGGCGGAGCCAAGAAGTGTTGCGTGGGAAAGCATCACGCGATGTCTTCTGTCGAGAACGTAACAATTAATATCTCCAATTGGGGGAATTGTTCACACAGTGTTGACCCAAGTGCAGCATTTTACAGCTACGGCGAAAACATCAGATGTTTCCTTTTGTTGGGTAAATCATTAGAATGGGCAAGAAATGCAACATAAAGTGTTGTGCATAATTACAAGCTTGGACAAGAAATAAGTACTTATACATCCACACTGAATGCAATGCTTGCAGCAGAGACTGCCACAAACATTGCCCCAGTGCCAGTGCAACTGTGGAACAGGATAGTGGAATAAGCAATCCAGGATGTAGTAAATCCAGTCAACAAATGTGAATTCATTCCAGGCCAACTTATGCATCTTACACAACTTTTCCAAGACAAAAAAGACTGAAATATGATGAATAATATGTTATAAGATTCAAAAGACTCAAAAGGTCTTATGCATGTTAAATAGGCCAAGTCCATATCTTATATAAGACACTTAAGACAGAAAAGACAAAATAAGACTCCCATAAGATCTTTTATAAGATACCTATAAGACACACCTAAGATGCTTAAGTTCCTTGTGAATCATGATCAAATTCTTCAAGTCTCGAATCCTGGATATAGGGTCGGAAAGTTTTTTCCGACCCCTGGGGGACCCCCCCCTCCCCCCTCCTGCCATATCGGGTAATATGTTCCCATGATTCACATCATGTCACCACTGATGCGATCAAAAAAGTGGGATAAAAATTCAATCTTTGTGAAAATTTTTTATATATGGGTATGTGTATTTGTGTATGTATGTATGTATGTACCTGGAACCTTCAAACACACATAGCAGGCCATATCAACTCTTCAACATGTTCACCTCTCATCAATTACCTGTCCATGGACCTATAACAGAGTGGGCTATCCAAGCAAATGGGCCTGAAAGTATATAGATATAAGTATGAGGGTTGTGAACTATAGAAATTGGAGTGTAGACACTATATTTTCAGTGTCTTTACCCCCATATAAGCCCCAAATCTTTCATATACAAAAAGTTTTTTTACCCCCCTGGGACCCCCCCCTCCCCCCTACCCCATGTGCCTGATAAGGATCTTGAACCCCCCTTGCTGATGATGTGGCAACATGTGTGGTGTTAAATCCGATTCCGAAGCTATACGGAGTTGTAAAAAATTTCCTTTTTCAGAAATTTGTCATGTTTATCATACCACATTACAGTATCAACTTGCCTGAAAAAAATGCCTTTTGAAGTTGAATGTCACCCTTGTCACCCTGTGTAACAAACGTGACAAATGCACCATTTTGTCACACCTGGACTGAGGCCTGGACTTAGAAGCATTATCAGAATCTCTAGGATCACCTGGACCGGATGGTGTACGCTCGCAACGTGTTCTGACCAATCTTGACAAATTGTGGGCCACGTTGCTGTGACGGGGCGCTTACTAAAGCCAGAGGGAGACCGAGGGCGTAAGCCGGCGAGGTCGGACGCAGGAAAGAACTGGCGTAAGCTGTAGATTGACCTCCGAAAAAGACTAATTACTACAGAAAAGAGCTGTTGTATTTAAGTATTTTACAGTTATGATGTCATGAGTGGAGAATCCATGCGTGTCGACGATGATCAGCGCATGTAAATTGCTATGTGAGGATATTTATCACCGGATCGCGGAGCATGCAATCCGGGACCTTACAGTTGCAGGGGGAGTGGGCGAAGATTCATCAGAATAAGGGCCAGGCAACCCACTAGTAGGACCGGGTATGTTTCACACCGTTGTTCCGCGATTCTGACCGGATTTGACGTTGATTTCTCAGAAACTTCCAAATGTGGAAAAATTATTGGATCACATCTCCCTCAGTTCTGCTTCGTTCCTTTCAAGTTGTCTACGACATATACTAGGCTCTAGCCCCAACGCATTTACCATTTAATCTTATCCATTGGTCCCGTGGTTGTGGAGCTCACTGGAGCAATGCGTCATTCAAAAGTCACATGCTGCTGATCCAATTCTTTTTCCAGGTCAGTGTATGTGTGTCATTCCTCTACCTGTAATACACCGATTCCAAATCCCATATCTGCTTCAGCAGGCCCACTACTTCCATGCTGACATCTGTCCACCCGTCGCCATTCTCCAGCCAGTTACCACCCTCACCTTCCATGAAGTCAAAGCGGTCCCCCGCCCAGGCGCCCCGATGCAGGTGTGTGCCTGCCGGCGGCTCGTACATCAGCGCCATGGAGGCAGGCAGATGTGCGGGAACAGGAGCTCGGCCGGCGTGATCCGCGCAAAGAACACCTCGCAGGGTGTACCAACATACGCTGCCTGCAGGTCAAGCACAGCAGCGAACCGGATATACACGTGCTTCGAGAGGTTGCGCACGATCAGCGCCGGGCTGGGCGCAACACGGGGGACCAGTGTCGTCATTTCGAGAAGGTCCAGGTTGTTCTCGAGCAAGAGCCGGCAGTCGATTGCGGCGCGGCGGAAGCGGTATTGCGGGGGCGGCCGGAGATCCCGGAGTATGTCAATAAGGCGGATGCTCGACTCCAACCTTTTATTTTTCGTTTATCCAAATTGTAAAATAAATGGAAACGGTTCAAAAATGTTTGAAAACTGTTTATAAACATTTATAAAGGGTTATATCTTACTAGGCCTGTCCATGTCAAAGCTGGGGCAATGACCAGCCTTCAAGCACATGTTGGTAAGCAAAGCTTGTGTCAATGCTTGAGTATCTGTGCAAGGATGCCAAGATTCACATTATTAGTGACACATAGGGCTAGCCTATTATAATATTATCATGCTCAATGCATAATAATAACATAACAATATTATAATATAGTCCTCTGCATCATAATATATCCATAATATAATTCTATAACATAATAATATCAATGTAAAATATTGTAATAATCATCATCATATGACATAATAATCAATTGCAATATAACAATGGTCAGCACTAACACAGACAGCTGGTTTTGCCACTTGCTTATTAACACATTTCATGCATCTTGCTTTTTAAAAGTCTTTCTGCACTGGTATTGGCAGGCCTAAGGGGGAAATTGCCTAATTAGAATCAAATCAAGGTAGATTTCAGAAAAAAAATAGGAAACCATTTAAAGTGTTTGTTTTTTATTTGTTTCTATGTGCCGTCAAGAGCAAACGAAAAGGGTATTTAAATGTTTATTTCCGTTTGCAAACGTTTGCAAATGGAAATGGTTGGAGCCCTAACATTGGCGCCCAGAGTCCTTCGAATGGATTCAGGGCTTGCAGTCCTGGCTTGGACCACGGGTAGTTGAACAGTGTGGGCTTCGATTCGTCCTCATGATCAGGCACTGGCCGGCCGGAGATAAACACCTCGCGCTGGTCATTGCTGAGCAGATCGTCGGGGATGTCCGCGCTGTCCAGCTCATCGCCGATGCACACAATGCGCTGCCTCTGCCACGAGGCCGACTCCGCCTCCTTTACCAGGAGGCGGTAGATGACGTGCCGCCCGACATCCCAGATGCCCTGGCAGGTGCTGCTGAGGAGGACCACCATGACGAACTCGTCGATACTTGCATATATCTCCCGGACGACGTCCTCCGGCAGGCCCACGAACGCCGAACTACAGGCCCACGTCAGTCTCGGGTTGCGCCCCACTAATCAGCACACGCACCTCTGCTCCGCCCTATCACACCACCGCCGTCCGTCCCCAAGCGCTGCCCCGCCCAATACGCCCGCACAACATTGTTGATCAGCGCGGGCCACATGGCCGCGAGGTGCGGATTCAGCCACGGGCCGGCGATCTCGTCGAAGATGAAGCTGAACTTGTCCCAGTCCCCCAGCTCCTCCCACTTGTCCAGGTTCACGACCTTCCACCACTAGCCCATGCGGTGCACAAGCGGCGTGTCGTGTGCAAGGAACATGGCACTCGAAACACATACAGATGTGTGTGGTGTTATGCAGATGCTTCTTGTTGCAGTACAGGAGTCGGAAGTCGGTCTGAGTGGAGCTTTGGTGAATGTCGATTTTTCGATGTAGCGGTTAGGAGCAAGAGCGAGACCCAGAGTGTCACGCACCTGTCACCAAGGAGCACAGCCATCTCTTCGCCCAAATAGGAAATTGCTACACACACCGAGGGCCGAGCGACTTCCCCGCCTGCCTAAAATCAGAGGTCCGCCTAGACTGTCTGGCCCCGGGCCGCCGCCTCCGCTCTCCGCCAAATGATCAGTTCGATTCCCGTCGACGCGGGTTCGAGACAGATGGAGTTTCTTTGCTCACCTTTTTTTTAGGGGTTGTCCGGCGCGGGCGTCCGCACTGCGGCCCGGATCGTTGGAGGGAGAGACCGATCTTGATTTTTTCTCCCACTGGCAGCTATATGGTGCTTGGCCCGGAAGAGTGAGCAGGCAAAGCCCGTATGTCGGATACAATGGGTGCCCCGCAAGCAGAACCCACGCCTGCTGTCCGAGATGCCGTCGCACGGGTTCGAGACAGGTTGGCTATGTAGGTTGACGATGTCGATAAGCATTTTGCCGACTATTCCTGGTTTATATGTGCTTGAGCCTGAGGCGAAGGAGAGAACTGGCAAGGAGGTTTGGGCTTGTGGGGCCACAATTGGCATTTGTTCGACCGCCACCTTACCACCTGATTTTGCATGAATGTTTTTTTTTTAAATGCCTCTAATTTATGCCCCTGCCAAAAGATGGGTTTTATATAGGGAAATAAGAGATCAAAAAAAATTTAAAAAGTTGAAAGGCCATGTCAGGGTGGGCAGTGTGGTAGCTATAAGGCCCCAGACCTGACGTGTGGAAAATTCATCGCGGTGAAGTTGTCCACCGTTACCGCGCCAAGGACCGCGCCTTCCTGCGCGCTGTACTACACCAGGACTACTTGGCAAACCAAGTAGAGATCACGCCGCACCACCGCGCAATTTCTGCGAGGCTCAACCCAGCCGTTCGAAACCCCGCTGATCGTGTTCGACTACACCAAGGGGACGGCCGAGTTGTGCGC